AAACTGGTGATTCCAGCTCTTCCCACCTCTTCTCCCAGCCCTGCACCTGGGACCTTCCATCACCACCACCGGGACTGATTAAGAAAGAAAGAATCATCACAGAATCACAGAATGGTCACTAGCAGAAAATTCCCACCAGGTAAATTAATTTGGGGTTTTTTTTTCTCAACTGCCTTAAAACCGTGAAGAGAAACTTCAAGTGAAGTTGTGAAGAGAATCGCTCAATGCTTCGGCCAGCACAGAGAATATGGACGGTTTATATTTGTACATAAATAAATAAATAAATATTTACGATGCCCATGAAAGCAGCTTAGTGCCTGCATTAGTGAAAAAGAGAGGGGTTTATCCTCATCGCCACCATTTATCCGTGTTACGGCGCTTCCACGCCAGGATCCCCCCTCAGGGCCGGCCCCGCCTGAGGCGCCATGGCCGGGGAGAGGGCGCCCCCTGCAGGCCGCGGCGGGTGAGGCGGGAGCGCTGAGGGAGCCGGCGCGGCCGGGGCGAAATCTGCGCTAAGAAACGGAGCCGCAAAAGGAATCATTTGAAATTATTTGAAATGACGCTTAAAATTTAAAAAGAGACGAGTGTGACGCTGTGGAGAAACGCGACAGTGACACAAATAGGAATGTTAAAAGCGCGATAAAACAATGCGGGCCGATGCTGCAGCTCGCTCTTGCTGTTTCCGCGCAAACTGTTTCTACCGTGAGACGCTACAAAGAGAAAAATTAAACTTAATAGAGAGTTTTTCCGAGAACCGTTGTCAGCTCGTGTTCACAGCGTTTCGTGAAGGAACTGCCCTCCAGTGCTTTAAGTTATTATACAGTTAATTTTCTTTGAAACTATTTTTGTCTGCCTCTCTCTACATAGGTGGTTTCTTAAGTGAGTGTTACTTAAAGGAAACCAATCTGTTTTTCAGGAAGGGCTGATGATGTCAGTCCTTTCAACTCTGCTTTCCCATAAGAATTCTTCTAGTAAAAGGAGTTTCACTCTGGGAAATAGTGAAAAGTAACGTGAAAATATGTAAAGCATCTCAGGCTGCATGTTTATCAAACTTCCAGTTTTACGCTTGGATTTTAATCATGTTGCGATTGTGACAAATGAAGGAAAAGCAAGGGAAAACCATTTGGTTTTTAAACTTAGAAAAGATTTTGCAATGAAAAACGTGCCATACTAAAATATTTATAAAGAGAAAAATACAAGCCTGAATGCACTGTATCAAGAATAACATGATTTTTAAATAATTCTAAATTTATATACTCCCTCTCAGCATCGGTATTAAATCTGAAACAGAACCACGGCGTACTATGAACAGTTTTTTGGCAAATAAATAAATACTTCAATCCCCAATGAAATGCAAGGCAAATTCAGAGAGTATCATATTATTATGGAATATTTTTAGTAGGTGTGGATGTGTAGCTGTAGATCCAATGTTAACTTACTGGATTATTATTTGTTCTGGTGCTGGAAATTCCTGCAGCCAACAACAGAGAAAACCGAGTGAGCAGAGCTACACAGACTTTATTTCACTTACTGCCCATGCAAGAATTAATAACATTCTGTAAATTTTAATTTGCAGGATTAAAATAATTGGAGTTATGTGCAGTTTTCAACCGTCCAAGTAAAGCATTGCATTTTTACAGCTAAATGTTCCTTGCTATTCACATGTGTCCTGAAGAGAACACGGAGAAGTTTGCAACACCAAGGACATTGCTCTGCTTTAACTATTCATCCTTTAATTCTCACAGCGTACCTGTCAGACAGGTAAGGACCATAAACCCAATTTTATACAAGTGAAATGGTCACATAAGGCCATATTTTACCCTAATGTTCACCCCAACAACCAACCGATGTAGTAATACTCTTATAATAGTAAAAGCCCATAAAAGGATCCCGACATAACTCAGATATTCCTGACAACACACTCTGGCAATCCAAGGGAATGACAAAAATACAACCTCGCTGCATTAAGAGACAGAACAGCCCAAACAAAATCTCTGTCGGCTATAAAAGGTGCAAAGGAAATATCTCTTTATCATCCTCTATTTAACAGTTTACTTCATTCTGCTGGAAAGAACAAAGCCAAACAATGATTCATTTGGAAATGAAATCATCCCTACCCCCAGCAAAGGCTGACATTGTGTGGGTAAACAGTCCTAGGGTGCTCCAACACAATGTAAATAGATTGTCTTGCTACTATATACACAGCAAACAGTTTCATTTTGAGACTAGGAGGAAAAAAAACAAGTGAGAAAAATACGACAGAGCCCGAGCTCTGAAAATATTTACAAGAACAAAAGCTAATCACAAGTTTCTATCAATAAGTTACAATTGCTAAGCAAAAGGGAAGATAAGACAGTGCAGTCTTTTGGCCTAAGGAATATCAGCAGAAAGATTAAAAGCAGTTTTTTCATGTAGGGTTTACTGAAAACTGGAAAAGATGTAAGAGGAAAATCGTGATGACGTGACTCCACACAGAAAAATCCTCCAGTTTGCCACAATCTCCTCTGAATCAGTCACTTAATCAACACCTTGTCCCAGAGCAATGGTTCTCTCCAGGACACGGTCTCTAGCTTTATTTCCACCATAATCATCTGCACTTAGAGGGGTGATTAAGGAACATAACAGTTATTCTTCTTGAAGAAAGCTGCAAAATTAAAGTCATTCCACACGCGGGGAACACAGAGATTTTTACTGCTGTCACACAGCGGAGAGCTGACAGACAAAATCAGCTGAAAAGAATTCAAGGGTTGCAGAGCAAGTTAGAAGTAAAGCAAAGAATTAAACCCAGAACTGCTCTTTTCTGTTTCGAGTACTCGTTTACACTTCTGTCACCAGACTGCCTCGACTCCTCCAAACAACAATAATTTAACATTATAATATGGTAAGGAGCTGTTACAATCTGAGTAAACACATCTTAGCTCACAAATTAAAATAATCATCGGTCTCTGACTAATCCTGCTGCCACACACACACACACACACAATCCCTCTGCTGAAAGTTGCTCCGAACTTCAGGAGTCTTTTACAAGTTGATGATAAATGGCTTTTTATAAAAAGCTTAGAATAGGGTTCAATATCCTGCCTGCCTTTAACCAGGGGAACTGAAAGATTACTGAAATGAAAAAGCAGCAATAAAATTACTGAAAATATTACAGTACTTTACCAAATGGAGTCTTTCAAACTCAACTATTTTTTTTCCTAATTTTTTTAAGGCATCTGTGCTAACTCATCTACAAATCCCCACAAATTTCTCATGGAAAACGTTCATATGAAGTTTTGCAAGTTACCAACACACAATCATAGCACGTGTCCAACTTCTGCACTGCGGAAGTGATGAGTACAATCTGTGTGAAGTCCTCCAGAAATCAAAGTCACCTTCCTGCCTTAATTCTCAGCACCCATGTGCAGACTTCCAGTGGAGCTGTTTGTTTAAACAGAGCTAGTTTTCAAGCAGTGATGGCTGCACAGAGATCTTGAAAGAAATCTGATTTATTATCTTTCAAGACAGACATCTGCAAACTGAAGGCCCAGAACTCTTGAGACACTCCCCTAAAAGCTGCTGCCTTTCTCTGTGACTCGTCCATGCACGTCTGTCTCCTACCTCCATCACTGAGCATCCTGAAACTGCTGATTCTTCTTTTTAAAAAGTGTCAAATCTATTCAAAACTTCAAATGTACCTCAGAGGATTGTAAAGGCAACAACTTACTGCAATTTCCCTTGACAGAAAATAGAATTGGCTGGGTGATAGCCACACAAATTGACAGTTCCTTCCTCTTCTCTCCATGATGTTCACAGTTACAAGCAGTTGGATGTGCCATAGCAAACCTTTGGAGCACTCCCCAGCCTGTTTCAGGCTGAGCTGCTGTACAGAGATGAGAGGAAGTCAAATAGTAGATACACAACTGTCTCCAAAGAGGAAGAAAGTTCAGAGCACGTTTTGGGTGCCTTCCAGTGGCTCCAGGCAGAAGAGGATAGCTCCAGAACAGCCACGCACAAACCTTTGTTCAGAGAAGTCCAAAGAAAGGCAAAAATAGAGAGGGTTGTTCTGAGACAAGTCTGGTTCCCTCAATAATCATCAAGTCATAAAACAGTTCCTTTGATTCAGAAATCCCACAAAGGTTCTCTCTATAGCAGAAAGCCCAGCACATAGTTGGGCTTTCACAAGAGCTCCTAATCCTGCTCATAATTAGGGAAGAGGGACTGTTCCTGGCCATTTTTAATACTCTCAGACTGGAACAGGGTGCCTACCCCAAACAAACTGCTATTCAAACTTTCACTTCCATGGAACTTGTGACTTACTCTCAACAGAAAGGAGGCATAAGGATGCAGCAAATCCTGAATGCAAACAAAACAGCTTCTAGCACAGACCTCATGAAAGAGGAAGGCTGAAAGAAAAGACAAGACTAGAAAAGCTGTGACATTGATAATTTTTGAACATTTTTTGAAGTTCCCTTTCACATCCTTTGAGTATCTCCAAGGCACATCCACCACAGGAACAGCATGGACAGATCAATTTTTACAGATTGTTTTACCTTTACACATTATTTGTCACGTTGTTCCCACACACACACAAAAAGCAGACACAAATCTGTGCCATCAGCTTCCCACTGCCTTGTTCCCACATTTCTCCTTGAGCAGTATTTACTGTAGATATCCAGATGTGCTTTGTGATCATCAAGGCAAACGAGCAATGAGAATTTTAGGCAAGAAAATTCTTTGAATACAGACCAGTTTACTGACTGTATGCTACATGGAAACAAAACTTGAAACCTAAAGACCCTCAACCTTTCAGTTTTGAGTAGAAGTTATTAACACACCTCTGACAGCATCATTTACTTAAAGCAAGCTGCAAAACTAGAACTTATCTTTCCAAAAATATTTCCACCTTGGCTTATTCCTGCAGTATCTGCATACATAACATATTTTTGCACAATACCTAAAACATTTTATGAAATTCATATTCTCCTCATGATGGAAAGAAAGGAAGAGAGTGGATTTACCGTGGAGAGGTGAGCCAGAGGGGCTGCTGGACAGGCCGGGCACGGGGCTGCAGCGTCCGCCCTGCTTCGACGTCAGCTCCTGCTCGATCTCCTCCAGCCCCGCGCTCTTCTGGAAGCGGCTCATGCGATTGACCACCCGTGGGGACATGTGTGTCCTGACACAGGGCTGGCCTCCGTAGGGATTGATGGGGAAAACATGGGAAGTGCCTCGGAGTGTGCTGACCACCACCCAGCGGCAGTCGTGGCTGAAGGAGATATCCTGTACCTGGAAAAGAGGTGACAGGGGAATGAAGCCACCAACGTGCACACCTCCAACACAGGGGTCGTGTCTCAAACACAAATCTGAACTGGAAATGGGGAAAAACCCCTCACATTTAGGCAATAAGTTGAATTTTGGTGCATTTATCAATGAATTTAGTATTCAGTATATGCACTGTAATTCACAGTTCCAAACTTTTCAAAATATTCTGAGATTATGACAACAGACCATGCTGCAAAGGGCTGCAGAAAGCCACAAGATCTTGATGTAGTTTTCAAACAGAATTTTGTTCTAAAAAGAGCTGGGAAATTGTTTCAATTACATGTTTTGTATTTGCTTGTTTAATCTTCAGAGATTGCCCAAAAACGGGAAAAGGGAGGGATGACAAGAAAAGAGAGAGATCTCACCACTGGGCCTGATTTTGAAAAATACTGGCACAAGTCTTATTTTAGCTTAAAATGGTCAGTTTTGAAGCAAATACAACAATATAGTTAAACATTTTCCACTACGGTTACTCCTTGCATAGATCTCAGATACGAAGTCCAGAAGGATTTAATTCTCTTTCAAGTGTTCTTTACACAATGCTTTGATGGAAAGCAAATTCTTGTTCCTGAAGGAATGCTTTAAAAGAGAGATTAAAGTTTGTTTCCAAGCCCGTCCTGGCAGACAACTCAAGAAAACAAGTAGTCGAAGTTAAAATGATTTATCATAGAGAAAAAAAGTCCTGAAACAATTCTTCCAAAAATGTTTTTAAAGGTAAAAGCTGACTAAAAGGAACCATGGACACAAGTGGGATTTACCATGGCAAACAAACATATAGACGAAGGATTAGTTTTCATTATATTATTAAACAGCATAAACTAAATAAAATTCTTTAAGATTTCACTGAAGCCAGTTTTACAATGCACTAGGTACTCAAATTGGAGTAAACACTGATAAAATCTTGACAAATATTCCAGAAATGCACTCCAGCTATTCCAGACAAAAGCAGCGAAGTATTCATCGAAGTGCAAGTTTCCAACAGAGCCTGAAGCCTCGGAGATAAAAAAAGGATTTAAGTCTGGTGACTTGTGACAAGATATTTGATTGACAGACTGTCACTACACAAAATGCTTCGCCAACATTACCGAGATCAACTAAAACCAGCGCTACACACCTGCTCCTTTCAGGGCTGGTGACATCCCCAAACGAGCTGCCAAGGAGGCAGCTCAGCGAGCTCCCAAACCTGACAGCTTTGGCACTTCCAGGATTCAGCTCTGAAACACCTACAGTGCAGCACTCGGAGCTCCGAGTTTGCTTACAAAGTGTTTCACCTTAACAGATTGCTTAGAAGGGATTAGAGACCCCACAGGGATTAATAAGGACTCCAAAAAAAAATCCCCCAAAGGCTGTGGAGTCAGGGAAAACGATGGCACCAAGAGAATTTCAGTACTTGCTGTTAAAGTGGCAAATTCTCCTGGTCAAAACCAAACATATGAACTGTGTAGAAACTGCCACTCTCAGTTACAACAGAACCATGAGATGACAGAGAAAAAATTCCATCTCACTGTAGCATGCAACAAAACTGTGTGTTTCTACTTTAGTACTCAGTTTCCAGTTGGCACCCTGGGGGTTGTGTTCTTTCAAAAACTACACACAACAGCCATGGCAAATGACAACCCCAGCCAAGAAACCAGGAAACAATCACTACAGGATGGTTTTTTTTTTTCCTCAGTGTAAACATTACACAGAAAAAAAGTATTCCTGATCTACAGGAAGAAAGTGTGGAACTCCATAATCCCAAATGCTCTCTTTAAAAAAGCACTCACAAACACTGGCTGCAGTGGCCACGGCTGCCTAAAACACGGCTGAAACCACAAAGGCAGAAGGGTTCTAATGCTCAGGAATAACATGGTAAAAGCATTGACAGAAGAGTGTGCAATGAATTAAGATTTACAGGAACAGAGCTATGAAACCCTGCTCAGCAGTGGCAGAGTATTTTGGAAGCTGCTGCTCCATATGATTCACCTACTGCTCACTGGTCTCCAACACGGCCTCGTTTGTCTTTCACAGATACAGGAGGAGCAGCAGAACCACAGGCACTCCAAGGAGGTGATTCAGAGAATATTTCCAATTCCAAGGGCATGAATTGAACACGCTCACAGCAAACCAGCACAAACCCATCTGTGCAACACGAAGGAACCCGTGACTCCCCAGGAGAACTGGAAGAAGGCATGGACCAAGCTGAAAGGACAATGCTCATCGTGGCAGTCTCAGAAACAGCTTCAAAAATCAGCTGTGTCCATCAATAAAGCCCTATAAATTATGCCCTGGGCCGTGCTGTTCCCCACCACGTTCCTGTACATTATGCTGAGTTCTCGACTGCTCAGAGTATAAACAAACTGCACAGTGGCCCATTAGTGGTTTTCAAGTTTATGCTAAGCGTTGCAGTTTATTGCTGTTCTTTAGGTTAATGTACTATTATTTCATGTATTTATAATATATTTCTGGATTTGTTGTTAATTATGATGTAATGTTTAGATACCAAAGATCAATCAAGACCCCATAGTGTTTACAGATATATGTTAATAAAGTACAAAGTACACCAAATCTCTCACGATGAAAAGTTTATTCTATAGCTCAAGGTCAATGTCACATTTAATACTCACGTCTGTATTTTATCTATCCTCTTCTGTCTGGACCAGTAAAGGGAGTTACAGACCTGAGATTTTGTTTAATTTGGGAACCCCTAAGATGTTTTCAAATTCTTTTCAGTCCCAAACTCTCCAGCTTTCTTGCAGGCTCCCTTCAGGTACTGGAAGGCCACAAATGCACCACTCCAAAGCCTCCTCTTTTCCAGGCTGAACAATCCCAATTCTCTTAGCCTTTCCTTATATGAGAGGGGCTCCAGCCCTCTAAACATTTTGGTGGCCTCCTTTGGACTTCCTCCAAAAGGTCAGTGTGCTTCCTGTCTTCTCCTGTTTCCCTCCCATTAGTCTTCTATGCTTCTTTATAACTTCCACTTCTCTATTTCCCCATGCTTTGAACATTATGACGTAAAATCCTCCAGAAAACTGAATTAAAATGTAGCTACCACTCAGAGCCTGCCCTGAATGACACAGTCAGGTAATTTAATACAGAGAGTCCTCCAAGGACATGGCACATGTCAACAGCTCCACTGAGGATCAGCTTTCAATACTGTACAGCTCAAAAAATAATTTCTGATATTACAGATCACAGGATGGGTTGTGTTGGAAGGGGCCACAGAAGCTCATCTGGCCCAACCTCCCTGCTGAAACAAGGTCAGCCCAGAGCACCTGGCACAGGACTGTGTCCAGGTAATTCACATAACAGAGAGCCAACCTCACAATGCTGAACCCTGGATTTGAGTAATAATTATCAGAAATAAACCACATTTTGATCTTCCTAGCACTCTTTTTTTCCTTCCTACCACCCCTCTGTCAGTCGTGTGGAGTTATACCAGGTGCAATCTGTATATTCTTGTGCATTTTACTGCATTTAATTAAACGTGGAGAGTGGGACCAGCAGTGCTGCAACAGGAACGTGACCTGTTCATGATCACTGTGCTGTGTCACAGAGAAAAAACACCCTGATTTGAAGCACAGGACTCAAGTATTGAATTATGCTGTGCAGGGAGATGGCAGAAAGAAAAAACCAGTATCATTAAGCAATGAGAAAGAGCAGCAGTCCCGAGGAGGTAAGGGTCAAAATAAATTAGAAAACTGGTCTGTATGTGAATTTTTTTGGCTGAGAAAATTAAGGAAATGATGTAGCAACAAACATAAATGAAAAAATAATAAAATCATGGTCTACACAATATGATTTATCAGACCCACACAGACCCAACTGTGTCTCCCCATGTCCTCAACACTGATTTCAGTCGTGTAAAAGCAAGGGCAGAATGTGGGCACAGTGAGAGATTCCTGTGGGGCCTTTAAGCAGAGCTGAGCTCTGTACCAGTAACTGAGGCTGCAAATGCCACTGCTCAGGGCTCCATCTCCCCAGGGCAGCCAAGCTACTTCTGACTGCAGCAGCTTCTTCTTGTCAGCTCTCATCTGACACTGACCAACTTCCCCAAACCAATCTTGATTATTTCAAGCCCATTCCCAGCTTCTTTCCTAGAAATAAGAAAGTCTTCCTAGCTTACAGAGTCTATTTCAATATCCAACTATGAGCATGTCACAGACAGGAAGGAATTCCTCGTGGCCATGGAGATTCACATCCAATATCTGGAAGTTGTTCCAATATTTCACTACCTGGGCACAGGGTGTGACACAACCTTGAGCGGTGTCTGTGGAATCACATCACTGAAACATCTCTGCATTCCCTGGAAAAGCATCACATCAGTGTGCAGCCAGGCTGGAATGTTTTTATCATTCCCTGTTTACCTTCTCCCACTGAAGTCAGTTCTAGCTGCAGTTTGGGAGTGGGAATAACAAAAGTCTGACAGAGTAAAGGATTACAGAGGAGCTGGCCAGCAGCCAGCTGATGCTATCGTTCCGTTTATTTGTCCTAGGCTGAGATAATGCTGTTTTCAGGGATTTTGTTTTTGCTGTTTACAATTTCAGATCAAAGAGAAAGGATCATCAGGTGACAGGCTAACTTTCATCTGCAAGTAAATGAGCTTCCTCAGTTCAGAACATGCTATGCCTTCATTGAAAACCTTCTAGAATGCTCTTGGGTAAAAATATGAGTGAAGTAAGTGTTGCCTCACAATGCAAGAGCTGGAGGACAAGAAAATGTATCCTTAACCAAAATGTGCAGGACATGCACGTGCACATTTCTCCTCTTTACAGCTGAACTGTGCAAGCACAGGCCCTCTGAGAGGTTCAGCTCTCTCTGACTCAGTAAAATACAACCAGCCCTTGCAATGGACCTTCCTGGTGTTACTCAGTGCTGCTTTTTGTCCTCTTAAGGGAAGAAAATACAAAAACTAGAGCACAAGTGGCACTCAAAGGCTAAAAGATCTCAATCTGGTACAACCAAACAGGGACTTCTGTCTGTGTTTGCAGAAGAGTGACTTTGAACACTGTGACCTTGGGACTCAGTGAATTATCTGAGCACTCCACATTCTGTCATGGTCATTGTCTTCACAGTTCCCTTCTGAGGCAGAGGTCCACCTTCCATCCCACCCCATCTTCATCTGAGTCACAAAAAGGAGATTTTGGGAAAAGTGGGGTGAAGCTCTGTCAGCCAAAATCTCACATAGAAAAGCAGAGCTGATTTCAGCAGGGACATTAAAATCCCACATATAACATGGCCATAATGATGATGGTTAAACAATTTATAATGGGTACTAGCTAAACAAATCCTGACACTGATAATCACTCATGTCCATCAACACAAATTAGAACTTTTTATAGCTCCAGTACAGAAGGTGACCTTTAAGACCATTGGCCTTGATTCACAGTTAGTTTTAAAACAGGGGAAAAAAAAAAAAGAAAAAAGGAAAAAGGTCTGGTAGCAAATGTATAAATACTGTTCTAACCAGACAGGAGGCACAGAGGCTCCCAGTGTGGGCTGCACTGAGAGTTTTACATTGAACAGTCTCCAAAATTCTCTAATGCTCCTCATACATGAAATTCACAAAACAAAAGAGCAGCACCAGCAAACTCTCCTCTTATTGAACAGCTAGAAGTGCTGTTATTCCAAAAGAAAAAAGTAAACCAATCCCTCAAATTATATAAATATTTCAAACTATGTGTGTTGAGAATCTCAGGCACCAATGCAGTATTGTTTAATTATCCAGGGAGCTGTGAAATCCACCAACACACCTCAGACTGGTTAGAATTTTCTCCATTTTATGCCATTCCAAAAGCTATACTGTTCACATCCCAAATGAAAACTGTGTGGCAAACTAGGAAAAAATTTTACTATGTTGATTCTGAGAATTTTAATGCAATGCTTTCACAGAGATGCTAATACTATATCCCAAAAAAACATGTATCAATAAGGGTTCCTTCTCTAAAACATGTTCTGTTTGGTTTCCAATGTGTGCCTTGAAAACAAATTTATCAGCTGTAAAAACCAGAAGAACATCTTTGTTCCTCATGACTGAAGTCCTGTGCTTTGGGTTTCAATATTGAGTCTTTGTATGAAGGGAGAACAAAAATAACTCTAAAACATTAAACACATTATAGAATGTGCCCAAGCAGATGGCAGAGTATGTATATACACACAGATCTCACTGCTCTTTGTAATATTTATAAAAACCACTTGTTAGTACTATATATATTATCCCAAATGAACAGTTTTTCCTAATTTCCTCTCACTTTCCAGATTGGTTATTCCTTCTTATAGCAAACCATTGCCTGTAACAGCAATTCCACTTTTCCAGAATGGTAGCAGGAAAGCTTTAGAGTATTTAAACTACCAGAAATGCAAATTCATCCAGACCAAAAATTGATCAACCACTGCTCCATTCAATAAATCTTTCACATTCCACTTGTTACAAAGGTATGGTGAGAAACTTGAAAGAAACTGCTCAACTCCCAGGCAAAGAAAAGGTTTGAAGGAACTGTGATCAGGTACCAGAAGCAGGCGAGCTCCCAGTGCCAGGGTGATAATCCCAGAGCCCCAGGCTGTCCCTGTCACAGTGCTTCACATCTGCCAGGCTGTCACAAGCCTGTGCTTCCCGTGTGTAATTGCATCAGCAAGTGCAACACTCATTTCTTACCCTGTGGTGACATTTTTATTCCTGTATTTAAAGCAGGTTCCTCAGCAGTTCCTCAGTGCTCCAAAGGTGAGGCTCTGCTGTGAAGGACTCAAGCAGAACTCGCTGCTGCCACAGCCACAGCCCTGCCAGCGAGAGCAGATCCCTGTTCCCCACCTCACAGCAAATCACTTCACTGAGCGTTGCTTAAAATACAATTCCAGACTTCCCCACCCTTGGATAATATCCTAACTCAGCCCTGCATCTCTGAGAGGGGGATTTTTCAACAGGGAAGTTAAACTGGGGAGTCTCTGCAGGTTCCCCCACTGTGCTAAGAAAAGTTAATCACAGCCTTTTGATTAACTCTTCCTTTCAACTCTTTAATTGTCTGTCTGTGGCTTTTACCACCAGAGCCAGGCAAACGCTGACAGTTCCTTCACGGGCACGAGACAAATGTTGAACATGTTACATGAGAAAAGGTTAAGTGCAAACACAGCCAATAATCGGGGCTCTTTGGAGGCAGTGCCAGATCTGAATAAATCTGACAGCACCTCATTGCAAAGGGCAAGAATTTATTATTGTCCAGGTTAAACGCTCTGCTCTTATCCCTTCTGTGGCTGGAGCACAAGAAAGGCTCTTTGTGTGCTGAAACAAACATTAAAGTGCCAACATACACAGAATGTATAAGGTGTCTGGGGATTATTCTTCAGCAAAGAGTTTCACTTACTTTGGCTTCGGTCTCTCCCCTGTGAAGTGTGTACAAGTGATGGACGGCACTTTGTGACGATGACCAAGGATGTGTCAGGATTTGGAAAACATGGAAATCATGGCCTAATGTGTCAGTGGTGACCAGCAACATCCCTGGGGGAAAAAAGAAAAAAACAGAAACACAAAAGCGCAAAAGATTAATCGTTGCAAAAGAAGAGGCTTAAAGTGTCTGTCTAAAAAACAGAGTGTGGCTTACATTTGGGGTTTGGAAACAGAAGAAAACACAGAAAATTATTGAATTGAAAGGGATTCATCTCATAAAAATGAATCAGGACTTCAACTGAAATCATAATCACGTACTATGACTTAATATATTAAGATAGTATTACAACACAAATCTATAAAAACATCTGAAAAATCTGAATATTCCAAGTAAATCTGAGAACTGTGTGGCCAATATGAAGCATTGAAGTGATGGATGTTACAGCAAAACCCCAAAATGCTCTTCCCTGGGCAAGAGCCAGTCTAAAAAAGATTGATGTCTCCACAATAACAATTTTTGGAAGAAGAGATTATCAAAATCCAGCCAAAACAGCCCATACCAAAACAATCCTGAAGAAGCATCTTCCTTCATCTAGAAAAAATCTCTCTAATTTATTGGTGAAAAGCAGAGTTGAGAGCTTTCAAATTAAACACTAAATGAGGTACCAGGCTCATTGGTGGTAGTTCATGGTGGAGGTACTGAAATGATTCAATTAGATCAGCAGAACCACAGTAACTTACATTTGCTATTTACTTTTTTATCCCACAGTGTCTAAGCCCACAACCCAGTTTTAAACATTTACAAAGATACTTGAAGTCAATTTGCCATAAATTTATACAAGTTTATACAAAAAAATAAGTATTTTTGCACATACAAGGAAAATACAGCATCATGGCAGAGCTTAGGATTACAGTAACAAACTACAGGGTTTTTTTCTGTTATTAATGAAATTTAATAGGTTATCACCCAAAGTAACCCTCTGACATTTAGTTAACATCAAGTATAAAGTGATTTTAGCAGTTTAATAGTGACATTCTAAATAATTTTCAAGATTCCCGTCTATTAAAGAAAAACCAGGAATTCCACTCAGGTCTGTTGCAACATTTCTCCACATAAAGCACAACTGAAATCTTTTATCCTGCAGGAAGAAAACTTAGTCCCCATGACACTTATTCAGAGGATAAATTGTTATCTTATTTCTGCCATAAATGAATGTCCATTGCCTTAATTTATTTACAGGTGATACCAGAAATTGCTTTTCCCTCAGCTGCCCCAGATACCAACAGCACACATTTGAAACCTCTCACATGTTACCACTGATTTCCTACCTTACAACACTTGGAAAATGTTAGTATTAAAGTGAAAAAGTGTGCCAAGCAGCAGAGTAAAAATTAAGTGTGATTAGCTTTGCTATGGGACACCATTTCATCACTAGCTTGGTATCTGAGCGTTCTCCCTCCGTGGCAATCCTGGAATCCAAGAGATTGGGTCCTTTAGGCCCAGACAGAAAAATTTCTGTCTTTTCTTCCTAGTCCTTTAGATCAGAAAGAAAAGTTTCTTTGGCCAAAGAAGCCAAAGGCTTGGCCATGTGGGTCCAACGTCCTGAAACCCAGGGTACACCCTCAGAGCCTGTGTGGCACCGACATGGCACATCCAAAACCTCGGAAAGAAGGATCCTGTGAAGGCAAACACGCACTTCCAAGGCGCTGAGGCCCACCAGCAGCAAGGTACAAAATCCAAATTGCTCTCGGAGACAAAACTGCCTCCAAGCTTCCCCTCAGCTTGACCACTGAGGCTGGCAGGGCCCGGCCACCCACGCTGCACCCAGGCATTTCCTGCAGCTCGCACAAACGCACCATCTCACGTCTGAGCTCAGCAAGATTCCCTCCAGCAGACACACTTTTACTGTTCCCGGCTGTTCCTCCGGCCCCGAGTGTTAGAAATGAAAGGGAGTTTGTTATGGAGCTGAGAAATCCGGGAGAGCACTGGGGTATTATGTTTGGGCGGTAAGGCATGTGAGCTGAGGTTGGTCTGGATGTTAATGTTGGCTTAACTGGCAATTTCCTTGATTTGTAGTGACTGTGTTGATAGGAAATACAGCTCAAGTTGCTCCGGTGCAAGGCAGCCAAGCCTTTCGTGTGGGATTATGCACACAATTTGCATTAATTCTGTTCTGCAACATCACAAACTACACTTCCCTTCTAGTGAAGTGTGCGGTCCTCAATAATATATAGCATTTCCAGCAGAGAAAGCTGGAAGCAAAGAGGGGTTTGTGTGTTGGAATGAGGCTGCTGCTGTTACTGGAGCGAGGATATTCCAAAAGATCTAATTCAACCCAGTAAGAATTTATCTTCTCCATTCCCATGTTTGTCTCTCCTCATGCAAAGACAGCTTTATATAGACATGGAGGTGCTTTGGGTCCTTTTGTGCTCTCTCTTATTCCTGACGGAAAGGACCTTTGGAGAAGGAGAAGTTGAAGGAGATGGATCCATAAGACTTCTCTGAATACTGAGCAGACAAGCTCTGCAAAGAGATGTTTTTTCCTTCCCCAAGGCTTGAGAAGTCTTTTATAAACACAGACCCAGGGCTGAGTGCACCCAGAGATCCCAGCAGAGCGTTCTTCCTATGAATCCCAGCACACAGCACAGTGCACTCAAGATGGTAAAAAACCCCTAAATCTTCCAAAAATCTGTCTGGAACTGGAGACAAAACGCTGTGCAATGATCCCAAGCCAGTGAAAACACAGGATCACCATCCTTGTTGTCCATGCAATCCATGGGTGTTCGGCTCAGCGGGATCTGGTTTCCAGCGCTGGCGAGAGCCGCAGGTGTCTGCGGGCAGCACAGGGAGGGGATCATCCCCCCTGCTCCTCACAGGCTTCTCCCCAACCCTACAATGCTCTCTTCAGGCAGAGCAGGGCTCACTTTGTGCCAAAACCTGTGGCACACGAGCCCCCAGAACCCATGGTGGTCCCCGTTTGTTCCTTTGGTGCCACCCTGGATCCCGACAGCCGCAGCCGTGACATTCACCCGTCTACCTGCAGCTCTGAGCAGTTCCAGGTGATGCTCCCAGCTCTTGGTTCCGTGTGTGCTTTGCCTTTGGGTTTTCTGGGTTTGGTTTGGGGTTTCTTTTCTCTGTTTTTGCTAACTTGAAGGAGTACAGAGGTGAAAGACAATACATTTGTGGCTGGAAAGGAATTCACTTAAAAATAGAAAGATGAGTGGTATCTGATTTGGCAATTTGCGTCTAATCTCAACTCCTGCTGCCTGTCCCATTTGGAATAAATGCAATTATTAGATGAAAGCCCAGGGAAAACTGGTCCTTCACTTGTATTAGAGACTCTTTTTCAGTAAGTTAAAGGAGGCCCTTTCACACCCACATCTGCATTTGAAGTACAAATATATTCTGGCAGGACTTGTATCAACACGGAGGTCCCAAGCACAACACCACAGATGGGAAAGAACGTGTATTTATAAAACAGCATTTTGAAATCTTTTCCTTGCCCCTGTTATTCAAACAATAAATCACCCATGTTTCAGAACACTGGACTGGGGTTTGTGGTGGGATTTTCCAGCTCTCATTACTTCACACTGAAGAATCCCAGTTTTCCATTATCACAGCTCAGCCATTTTGTTTCTCTCTCTTTCTCCATGCAGCATCCCAGCAGGAATTCCTAATCCCAGCAGAAAAACACGAACCAGAATCCTGGTCCTACCTCACTTTCACTTTCAAGTGCAGGAAACTTCAACTCAAGCTTCTTAAGAGGCCTTGGGACAATTTTCCCAAAAAGTTGTTTAGACGGAAATACAGGTTAAAGCCGTGCTAAATTCAGTCTGAATGTTTTCTCTTATGAGGGACTTTATGGGTGAATAATCAGAGATGAATAGTGAATAATTCTTGAGGATTTCCTGCTTATTTTTCCAACTGGCATTAATCCCTGTTTAACAGATAACAGCTGAAATCCATTGGAAGTCTTGCATACACAGGACCCAGTGGAAATTTATGTGTAAACCAGACTTCATTTAGTATACATCTCATTGCAAAAATTCTGAATTTGCTTATCCACAGTACGAGGGTGCAGCCAGATTAAATTAATGATTGTTTTACTGTGTGGTTGTTTTAAATCCGCAGAGATGACTAAAATCCAGTTTCAAAGGAACAGATATCCTGGATGGGGAAAAGAAATTAGCAAAGCTTTGTTTTACCTGCCCTAATTTACAGCTTCCTACTTTTCCTGCATTCTGTTTAGGGAAACAATCAGCTTCTTTCAGGACAGAAATAAAAACACGAGGAATATATGCATAAAAGGAAAAACTAGTACAGATGTAGACTGTGGGTTAAGAGCTATTTATGCAGTATCAGAAGACTAAACCAGACTCTGGCCTGGCCATAAACTAAGCCCACGCCCTAAATGAGGTGCCAAGCCACAAAAAGCATTTGCGTCAACTGGGAATACAAGGAAAAGAAGGACTTCTAATTATAGGGCCTGGAAGCGGAAGCCGGGAGCGATGGGGAGCTGAGGCTGCGCCGTGTTTATCTGAGAGCTTCCTCCCCTCTGCCTGATCAGGCTTGGCCTGAGCTGGGACTGGAGCTGCTGATGGGACACCGAGTTCTGAGCTCCTGGCAGCCCCAGGGCAAATTAGAGAGCTGGGCAGCCCCACCACATCCTATTTATAACACCTCCCTAATTGCAGAGCTGTTGATTGCGTGCATATAAAGGAGGTCTGCATGGCTTGGAGCTTCACCAGGAGCTTCCCTACAGTTTTCAGAGGGTTTTCCACCTCCCCAAACTGTGTAACTCTGCCAGCGCTCACTGAAGGACTCGACACCTTCAAGCTGTGTTGGATTTCTTTGCAAAACACCAAGGGCACAAGTGCTGGGAACCAGGCACACGTCTGTGTGGAGGAAATGTGGATCCATGGATGGACTGGATTTAGGAATGCAACCCTCAGATTTCCGTGCCCAGCCACGGAGAGACCAGTCCAGCCACTGCACCAACTCACTGCCTGTCCAAAAAGTGATTAAAAATATGAACCTCTCACACTTCAGATTGGAAGTGTGAACTTGGATCCCACACAAGGTCGGTACTGAGCTTTGGAGGTTCCCAAATTACAGGCTCAGAGCACTCAGGGGAACCACAGTGACTTAGAGCCACTCCTGGTTCAGTCCATGTGGATTTCTCCTGGCACTGCCACCTTCCACAGGCTCACTGGGACAGGATTCCTGTTCCACTGAGCTCCCTGGGCTCAGCCATTGCATTCATGTGACAAAGTTTATATGGCCCATGGCTTTCTGAGGCATCTGGGCCGACCCAGGAACAGCAGCTTTATTTATACCCACTCAACCCCTCTCCCAGGCAAGTGAAAATACAGCCAAACATCAGAGCTGCTCAAGCCCTGGCTACTCCCAAGTGGACCATGTGCTGCAAGTTACAAAACTGGGTCTCAAGAAACCTTAACTAAATAATGAAATTCTGATTTTAGCAAAATTCACCGCAAAATAAACGCAAGCACGTAAAGATTTAATGTAAATATTTTTAAAACCCCAAGAAGTCAAAAGAAAGAGAAGCAAAATGAAATATTATTTTGTGAATAAATAACTCACTATGACTCTTGTAACTCCTAAAATAATCCATGGCTACAGCTCTTCCTTCACAACCAACCCAAAATGCAATTCTTGATCAAGCCATCAATCATCAAGGATTCCTCCTTCTGGTGACATGGGACACAGGGACACAACATTTATAACTGCAACTCATCAAGCTGCCTTGATTTCAATGTATTTGTCTTCCAAGGCAATAATTCAAGTTGAGAACCAGAAGAAAATTAAGAGAAAAACTGAAGAATTATTCTGTCATTAAATAATTACAGCTTGATTTACTCTCCAGAAGTGTTTTCCTGCCCACTTTCTCTGATCAATGGGAAAAAACTTGTGCAGAGATGTTCCAATTTCACCCTCTTTAACTATTAACTCAAGGCCACTGTCACGTTTCAATACAGAACATTAAAATAATCAGAGCAATTTCAGGTCTGTTAAAGGTGCAGTCAGGCATCCCAAAGGGGACACAGTTTAATCTGTTTTACTGCTGGCCCAACATTCATTTTCTTGTTATTAATGGGTGGAAAATCTCTTTTGTAGCCAAGGAAGCGTAATTATTTTAAATTTTCAATGTCTTGCACTTCACAGCTCTCAGCTGCCAAGCTGGCAGGAGCAACACTTCTGGAAAGCAGATCATTTATTTACCACATCTAAAAGAAAAAAAAGAAACCCAGATATTTATAAACAGCACCATTTTTTACCTGTTTACTAATTGAGAATCTTATTTGTAAACTTTCCTCTTTGACACTAAAATTGGAAGGTACCTGCCCCATCCCATCAATTTAAAAGCTGGTCCTACTCCCAAAGTGAGTGTGGATTTAGCCATAGCTACAGAAGTATTTTAATCCCTGTAATTTCAGTTTGTTTTAAGGGCTTTTATTGAAAAATATTGTGTCTTTTGCTCCCCTCTAGAAGGGTGAGAAGCCAGGATCGAGTCCTGCCGCTGGAAATCCCCTCTATGCTGCATTTGAGTGTAGCAAAAAGCTTTTATTGGGAAAAGCTGTCCCAGGAGAAGACCACCAGGAAGCTTAGGTAACAAAATGTCCTTTTCAGAGGCTCTAAGGCTACTCACTTGCCTTAACAAATTGGAAGCTGAAGCAGAAGCCCTAAAAAATCCAAGGGGATAATTCTCATCTTTCCTGGCTGCCCACAGGGTTTGTTGTACATATAGTTCTTGGCAGTGCAGCCTGACAGGGAAACGAGGCACAAACCTTCCAAAAACAGGAGTGAATGATTTAAACAACCTTTGAACAGACATGAAAATTTATACATTTAACTTGCCTCCCAAACGAGACACAGAAAATGGAGATATTTGTATGGATGCTGCTGGAAATCCCCCCTGGAGCCCAGGAGGCCAAGTGCAGCTTGACCACAGCAGGAATTCCCACAGGAACTGGGATCCCAGCACAACCCCCTGCTCTGGTGGGCTCAGAAGCTCAGCCCAGCTTCCAAAATTATTCATTATTGGTCTGCATCACTCGAGGCTCCCATGGAAAGTGGAATTCCAAAGGAAGAGCAGCAGTGTCCACATGAAAATGTCCTGGTGTCCTCCAACACCAAACTCAACACTTGAACACCAGGACTCCAGAATTATTGATCATATCTAAAATTTAGGGCTGATTTTACTACACTTTATTTCACCTATAAATTGTGAAAACAACATCTCTACAGGTTTTCATGTTCCACTTATTCCCACATTGCATCCTCGAGGCCTTGTGCCCAAAACACACCTTCCTTGGGGAGCCCAGAGGATCTGGCCCTTCCTCCCCTCTGCAGGGGCAGCAGGAAGAAACTTCAAGGGCTAAAAGAACAGACTGTCCTCTGGCTGTGGAGAACTTGCCCAAGTGTAGACAACAATGTATTTAGCAACTCAGCTTTAGCACAAATAAAACATCTATACTTTGCTTTTAAATGTGGTGAAGACAACCGAAATAAAGCTGCAGCCCAGTGGACTTTAAAATTACCCTCAAAAGGACAAATAACAATTCCTGTAGTAAGGAGAGATATGGATCATTTACACACAAGTTGGTTTTCATTATCACAGTTCATAAAGTCCTTTACAGCTCTGATTTGCACAAATGAAGGGAGGATTCTGCTCATTTTTAACACAATAAAAACCCATAAAGGGATCCTCCCAAAATTCAGGCCTGAGCACCTGTGCAGTCCCTGTGCTGAGACACAATGGGATTAAGGGGTTTATCAGCCCCAGAAAGTAAAATTCTCAGTGAATCAGGGCAGTGCTCCTTGTTTGCCTCCCCAGCACAGCTCTGCAGGCACTGTGTGCTGGTCACTGCCTGGAATTAGGAGTCAAAGTGGGGTTTCAGAGCAAGCAGCCAAGGACAGAATCAAAAGCCACCTCTTGTTTTGTTCTCTGTAATGAGCTCAGCCTGACTGCCAATGACCACTGGAGAATGAGCTGGGATGATGTTACAGCTCTGGCTTCAAACAAAATCCTGCCTTGATGTTCAGTAAAGAGCTCACAATCCTGGGCTAAGTGCTGCTCTCACTGGAGAAGAGTTCTCTGCTGGTTTGTCCCCATCCCTCCTGCAAACCTCACACAGCATCTGCAAGCAGCCAAAAATAACACCACTTAAAGAAGTGTTTTGCCATTAAACACCATTTGATCTAAGTGTCACTCTCTAAGTTATTGTCATCCCAATACCTGAGCAAACCAAAGAATTTGAACATAATAGAAGTATCCAGCAATTGGCAAAAATATCCTTCCTTTTGAAAAATAACAAGTTAATTTGGTTTTGCATAAACATTCTGCTGCCTTTTAAATTTACACAATCCTAGAAACTCTCTTAAGGAAGCATTTAATTAATATCTAGTTACCATTCTAATTTAAGCAACTGTATTTATTTCACTTATTTATTTCATTTAATTAGCATTGCTCCATTTTAGGTATCATCCTTCTTCCAGAGCACAAAGCAAAATGACTGTTCTGGAACTGAGGATTCTCAGTTCACTGCACAGAGCTCCATAAAAAATCCCTTCCAAGAAAATCCAGGCAGATGAGAATACAGCTTTTCTGTCACAAAACCCCAGTGAACTGCACTGCACTGTTAAAGAGTTCTGACACAACAGATGGGGTGTCAGAATGACACCAACTGGTCAGCAAAAGTGAAAACATAAATGACAGACATTTAGTTTTATTCTCTGAAATGTGACTTGACTCTCCTAATCTTCCTGGCATTTGCTACATCTTAGAAATTGTTAATTTAGGCACTGGAAGCTGTTGATTTCTGACCATTTCCCTGAGTGCTGCTGCAATCAGCCAGAACATTATTTATCTGCAGATAATGAAATGTTAATTGTTAAATTAATAAGATCAATTAATACACAAGGTTTGTAGCTGTCCCTGCTGCCCACAGTGTTCATTTATAAAGAGGAAGGAGAGAAACAGGTACTTTTGAGGAGTTTCTTAAAAGTATTTTCAGATTTTAGTTGATTTCACTCAGGAGAGAGGGTAAGATCACAAACTCTTCATTAGCAAAGAAATAATAAGTTACTTTAAAAATTAAACTATTTTATTTCTGTATTCATGGAGGACTACAATTTAATCCATGTGCTGATCCTCTGGATACCTGAGGATCACAACCATGTGGCAGGAAGATCCCAGCAGACAGGAATTCCTCAGCAGTGGAAGAGGGACTGAATCTCCTTCCTCCTACCACAGTGAAAGAGTTGCTACAGTTTGGAATTTCCAGAAAAGACAAATTACCCATCCTACACTCTGCAGAGCAGGTCACCTGCAGTGTCCCAGTGGGACCAGCAATCCCTCCAAAGCCAGGGGACACATTCCCATGGGATTTCCTGCCTTGTCTGCACCCATCCCAACAAGCAGAAGAATCTCTTACCACTGGGGTTGAAGGCCATGCAGCAAATGGGCTTCTCATGAGCAGGGAAATGGGCCACGATGCCATCGCTGTCCGAGTCCTCACTCACCAGCACCTGGGGACAGAACACAGCCAGATCAGAGAAAAAACACTCCAGAGGGAAAATCCCCATGTCCTGACCCAGGGATTGCTGGGTAAGGTGTCACATTCACAGTGTACCTGCCTCAACAGAACAATCCTGGGAACTCCCTCACATACAGACATGAGAGCTGCTCTAACAACCAGAAAGGATTATCCACTCTATGCCTGGAATTCCTAGTCATTTATCCTATTTATTTCCTATTTCATTTATTTCCTATTTATTTATCCTATTCAAATTAGGGAAAAATAGAAAAAATAGTCCTGTCTTTTTCCATGCATTATAGCTGACTGCAAAAGAGCTCACTACACCGTGCTGTGCAGGAAGGTCCATCTGAGGTTTCCAATAACAAAATTACATCCTAGAAAAAAAAAAGAATATTTAACCCTTACATAAATCAATATTTTGATCCCAAGTACATATGGTAAATAAGTGGAAGACCAGATCAAACCCCAGAGAGTGGGTTTGCTTTCCAGGAGTCCCCCAGCAGGGAACAGCACAGCTTCCATCCTGCTGTCAGTGGTGCTGGAATGGAGGGATCTGGATTTCCAAAGGATGCAAGGAATGCCCAGGGCTGGGAGTGTGGATGGAAGCAGCTGCATTGTGGAATTTACAGTTAACATGAATTTTCTCTGACTTGAAACTGCCTCATTCAATATGAGGTAACACTATTACAAAGATTATCAAAAAATCAGGCCCTCATAAAATACCTTCTTGTGAACAAAAAAAGGAATTAAAATACAGCAGAGAGTTTTCACAGCACAGGGAAACTCAGTGGAAAAGGAAATACCTGGACTGAGATCTGTGTTGTGCAGCAGTTTCTGGGGAAGGGGACAAAAGATAAGCTTTGGTGTTTTAAACGAAAGCAAATTTGAAGCTGATAAAACTCCAGGGCCAGTCAAACTAAAGCTGAGTGTGAGGACATACAAAGGGACAAAATAGCTAAGTTTAATTGCATGAAAAAGCAAAGATATTCCTAGATTTGTAGAACAGAACCAGAATATGTGTGGACAAAACCATGCAAGAGTTGTAGGAGTGTTTTATTCTTTGATTACATCATCCTAAAAGCTGAATTAAGTAAAACAAAAAGAAAGATCAGTCAGAAAAGGACTTGACAAAGGGGGTTTTGTGGTGAGCAAAAACCATCTTCTTACTGAGACAGTGCAAAACCACCCTGAATAATTTGTCTGCCTCTTCCAAAATAATCTGCAAGGTTTTTAATACTTCCTATCCCAAACAGATATCAAAATCATTTGAAGTTATTTTTCCACTCCAGAAGAGCAGGAACCCTCTCCAGGCGTTTGGAGCAGGGCTGGAGGAGCCTGGCTGGGCTGGGCTGGCAGAGCCCAGAGCTCTGGCACCTCCCAGCTCAATTATGGCTTTGCTCTCCCTCGTCAGCATTTCCTGCTCCTTCCAGAACCACCAAACCAGAGGGGCTGGAGATCTTCTGAGGGCTTTGCAGAGGAGCACAGCTCTCCCTGAGCCAGGGAACCTCAGCACTGCCAGCCATCATCATCAGCTCCCACTCCCAGGGAGCTGGGCTCAGCCTCAGCACTCTGCTCTAATTAAAGAGAAATGATAATGACAAATGAATACCATAAACCAGCTTCACAAAGAATTTTTTTGCAGGTCTTGCCTGTTAAATAAGAATATTCAATGAGAAATGTGTAGGTATCACAGGAGCTAAGTCATTGCTAGAAACAGGTATACAGGATATTTCATATGCAGCCTCTTCTACAGGATTAATTCAACATGGCTTTATTTGAGAAAAAAATAAAAATGATGAATGCACTGCTGTTATCACCCCTGCAGGATAAACCCCTGTCCAACAGGCAGGAGCACTGCATGGCAACCTGACCCTTAAGTATTCTTCCTCTGGAAATATGATACAAAGCCAAAAGTCACAACATCAAAAACTGCAAAACACCTTAGACTTAGGAACAGACTTAGAAAACTTGAGAACTCAAAAAAGTCCAAATCTCTATTTGTATATGATATTAACTGATCCCATGCTTTCAATTCTTTTGTCATTTACTACTTAAAAATATATTCCTGGGAAAAAAATACTCCAAAAAGAGTTTTTAAAGATCTCCCCTTTTGCTATAAAAGCTGATTATCTGGTACAGCAAACCAACCTTTGCAGATTCAAATTCAAGTATGTTCATCCCCTGTACTAACCAAGTAAAGCAAAATAAAAGCCAAAAAAAACAACCACAAAAGCACCTTCATCACTCAAAAATTTGGAAATCTTGGGCAGTGGGGAATGTGACACTCAGGGCTCCTTTCTCAGCACCTGATGGGTGTCACTGCCTCTGACAGAATGGACAGAACTGGCTTTGGGAACACACAAGGAAGCAACACTTGCTGTGTGGAAAGATGAAAAAATATTCTTCCTCTTTTTAAAATCAGCATAAAAAAATAGATCCTTTAGGAACAGAGAAAAGTGCTTTTTTAAATCACCAGTCCATTGAAATCTTCAGGATTTGCCAGGTGTTCCCTTTGCTTTTCTGCACTGCACTTGGGAATAACAAATATCACTTTTCACAATTCCAACACTACAAAGGAAGGAGGAAAAAAATTGGACTTAACTCCATCATCAACCAAATATCCTCACAAAGATGCCACCAAACCAAAGCCTGGTTCCCATCCCAGCTCAGAGCTTTAAACCCCAGCGTGATTTCCCTTTTTTACAGAACTCCAGGAAATCAGAACGATGCTGATCCAACACCCAGTGCTTTAGGAACATCAAACCAGCACCACCAGCTCCTCCAGCCAGCTGAGGATTCCATGCCCCTGAAAACAGAATTGGGAATTTTTCCTGGAAATCAAACCAGAGGGACAATTTCCCTAATAACACACGCAGGGGCTGTCAGAGAGCTCGAGGGAAGCAGTTCATTCTGCCTCCCAGAGCCTGCAGAGCCCACAGGAATCCCAAGGCTGCAGTTTTTTCCCTCCCAAACAGGCTTCCTTCTCCAAGGTAGTGGCCTCTAACCACTCTGCTAAAAAACCTCCCCAAGTCTCTCATTGAGAAAAGTTCAAAAATCTCAGCATGGCTCTGGTGGTCCCAGAGCCACTGAGCTCCAGCAGGATCCTCCTTGCAGATCTCCCAACAAGAGACCAACACTGAGACTTTTCTACCAAGGCTCCTCCTGAACGAGCCCTCAGCTGCTCCTGATGCCCAAAAATATTTTATCAAGAGCTGCAACAGGATTTTCCCCAAAGCTGCCCAGCCAAAGAGCTTTGGGAGCCAAACCAGCTCCCAAAGCAGCTCTGTTACAGCAGAACTCTGAAGTTTGTCAAAGATTCACCAAATCATCTTTATCTCACCCCAAAAGAGGAGACAAAGCTCTGAGGGCAGGGTTGCATTTACTACCAGCCAGCAGTGTTTGCTGCCAGGGCAGGGGAGAACTGCAGCCAGAGCTTTTTCTGCTATGCCATATTTTCCTTCCTCTGTGGTATTTTCAGTACTGCTGAGCAGAAGCCACTCGTAATTATGACTTTAATTATTTTAATCTTTAAAGGCAAATTACACCACTTATCCCAGTGGAGACATGTTTTTAAATAAAACATGAAAGTAACACAAATAAAAATGGACCCAAATCTAATCAAGCAGGTCCTACTCTTAATACAATTAAGAAAAGACTAATCCCATCATCATAAAAACAAATAGGTTTGGCAATAATTATAAATATGAATATTGTATAACAAATATTTGCTGTACACTTGAGATCCCCAATGCTTTAAAGAGCTGGAGCTGGAGTTTGATTCACAAGGAGCCTCCCCCAAGTTACAGCCAAGGTCAAACTTCAGTGGAAAGGGGCTAAAAGTGATAGATCTGTGGCATTAACTACTGCACTCCTTTTAATAGAATCCAGCATAAACTCAAACCAGCCTCACGCTCAGCCTGAACCATTTATCTGAGACAAAAATGTCTTCTTGACAAAAACCAGATCTCCTTTAATAAAAGTGAGGCAGACAGTATTATGCTCTGAGGGAATCCTGTTGCTCTTTTTATATTTATATATAAAAAGAATTCTTCTGTAATACACAGAGATATAAAAAGTGAAGAAAATTGAGGCCAAATATCTGTGCATCAGGACATCACATCAGCCTTTGCCAAAGCTGCTCCTAAAATAAAAGCCCTGGTGTTAATGACCAGTGGAATTATGTCTGTAGTTAAAGTTTTATTATTGAATATGCTTCACTCTTTGAGCTTCTTTTTGCTTCAGACCAAAATTTCACAACAATTCCTGCTCCTGATAAGCATCTTGATTTGGTTCAATTGCTATCAACTCCTCACCAAAAGAAAATGAACTTTGGAAACTGCGGCTGCTTTTTTCCCAAAAATTCCTCTTTAATGCAATAAAAACTTAATAGGGAACAGGGAAAAAAAAAACCCTGATTACATTTTAAAACATAAATAGATCAACATGTTATCTTATTTTGCTGAGCTGTTTTGAAAACATTCCCTCCAATATTGAGAGTTGTGGATGAGCTGCACGGTGAGATTTCATCACTCACAGCCCTGGCGAAGGCACCCAGCACTGAGTTTTGGGTTTTGAACTGGCCACATCTTTCTCTGTCAGCCAACTGTTAGATGTTGAACAGATTTACATTCTGCCCCAAAACTGGTGACTTTTGAGCAAGGTCATTATTGCAGCCTGCACGTGGGTGGCCCAGTGGATGAATTAATTAAGAATACAGAAACAAAGGTCGAAAGAAAATAATTTTTCTTTCAAACCCAAGCCAATAAAGTCTTACACGTTTAATTCCAATTACTGAAAAAGAGGACATCTGTACAGCTTTAGGTTTATCCATTTCAACTAATTAAGGGATTCAAATAAATAGTCCTTCCATCTAACTGAAAAGTTTGCTAACACTTCATTAGAAGGAAGTTTAAACAAGCACACAACCTTGTTAACATATTTTGGTTTACCACAAAGTTACTTGGGCATCTCGATAATTATTTTTATTCCTTTTACAAATATCTCCTGACAGCCAATGTCAATAATTCTGCATTCCTCTGCATTTATTTAATTACCTCATAATTCAAATTTTCTTAAAGTAGCACCAATTCTGAAAGTAGGAGCTATCACATAAACAACTGCTGGGGATGAGAGTTTACTACAGTATCTACATTCATAAGGTTTATTAAAAATACTCTCCCTACAGATTTAATCCTGCAAGATTACATTAGGAGAGTTATTTGGTCTTAAATTGTGGATTTTTCTGTGGTGAGTTTGCATTTCACCCTCTGCCACGGCAGCACAGGGCAGTGAACGACACACATCGAGCTCCCTCTCACATCCCTCATATTTAATGCCTTTGAAATAGGAGAAATTATTAAAAATTAGTGAAAATTATAGTTAGTCCTCTTGGTTTGTGTCCAACACGTCCCTTCATCACTCTCCTGGCACAGAAATTGTTATATTTGTACACATGCACAGAGCAGCTCAGTCCATTTCCAGAACCTGTGTGCTGTGCTGGAAATAACTGAAAAAGCACTTGGATCATTAATTTGCAAAACTTTAGACACATTTATGTAAAAAAAAAAAAGCTTCCCCACTCAAAAAAAAGTTCTTATTTCTCCTCTAAAATTATTTATTTGCCTGCCTTAGATTTATTGCTGTCTTCCATTTTCTTTCTCTTTTTAAAACAGATTTTTTTTTTAACTGTATCTTATCTTACAGGCATATTTTATTACTTGGAAAATGTATCTATCACTGCAACACCCAAATTCTTAGTCAGGCTGTGCAGGTGATAGAAATCTTTATTGACCTGAAGGAGGTGAGGTATTTATTTTATATTAGGAGGGCACTGATGATAGGAAAATAATTCCTCCCTGCTTCTGAAATTGCCCTGAGCTGTGACAAGGCTGGAACTCGTGTGAGCACACACCAACCCCTGCTGAATGGGATTCAGGGCTTCCCAAGTGCTCATTTAGCCCAGAAAATACTTGGTTGGAATTTTAAATTCAGGGTTTCTCAGTGAGAGGAGGAAGAGCCTGATGGGAACAGCCATGAACATCCCAAATCAGCAGGAAGGGTTTGTTGATTCCACTCAGAACTCTTCTTTTCAGGAATCTGAAAACTGGGGGGATAAAACAAGGAAAAATCCTTTCAATGAGAGTGCTTCAGCACTGGAAGAGGAGTTCCCCCAAGGAAAGTGGAGTCCCCATCCCTGGGAGGATTCAAAAACTGAGCAGATGTGGCAATTTGGTTCCATGGGAATGGCAGGATTCAAAGGCTGCCCTTGATGCTGCTGCAGGTGTTTTCCAAATGTAATGATTCTCTGAATCTGTGATTCTGTAAACCAGTAACTTCAGAAAAACCTCTGAAACAGACAGTGACCCTAGAACAGAGAGGATTTAGCATCACCAGCCTGTCCCACCAGCCAAAGCGAGGATGGAGCTCAGGTCACCACTACTCTCAAACTGATTTTCCGCAGGAGAGTAAAACAAAGTCAGAGATTCTGGGCACAAGGAGCTCAGAGCTGGGAGCAGCTCCATGCTGCAGTGCCTGCTGCAGCCCAGGGCAGTGAGCTCAGCGAGATTCTCACCTCCTTCAGAGGTCAGAGGTGCTAAAACACTTCCCTGAATCCTGCCCCAAACCCAGCCAGGTCACCCAGCCAGCACAAAGTGCCATCCACACTGGCATTCCTTGCAGGAATTCTCCTGCCAGCACACAGCATCGCATCCCTGCCAGGCTCCTGGGACACGCCAAGATCCCTGCCACAAGCAGGATCTACCAGCTCACATCTGCACAAAAACTCACAAAAACTCACATTTCCACTGCAAACAGAGCTGCAGGCACAGGAAAAGACTCAGAGGGACTGGGGGCACCCAGGACACCCCTGACAGGAGAAGGTTCTGTACTGGCAGTGTGGAATGACCACGTACAAAGTGCATTTATTTATTTTTAATCAGCTTTCTTTTTGCCAGAGGGACATTTCAGTAAGAAAAAAATTGTTTAAAAAATCTCCTGCACCATGAAACTCTAACAACGCAAAAGGAAGGTTATTTTCTTTTTTTCCTGGAAATAAATATAATTCTGAAAGCAAATTGCAACACTGGAAATAAATGATATAATTTAACAGCATTTAAAATATGAATGCAATGCACACAATTAGGATATCCAACTTCCTAGAGATTCAAGAAAAAACTTATTTTCCTAGAGCTGATGGCTTATTTATGTAAGAGCAGCAGGGTTTGGACAAGACAAACGTTATCATTTTACAGCTCCTCTCCTGGAGTGCCCTTTAGGCTTTGATAGCTCCCTACTATTGTCAGGGTCAGAGGACAAGTTCATAAAACCTCTAAATCATACATAACCAGCTTTAAAAACCTAAGCTCTATCAATTTTTTCCCCCTAGGCCTATGCAGAAGAATCAAAGCACAGACAGCAACCAGCAGAAATAATGACCACATTCAACAGCTTCATCAGAAATTTATGAAGTCAAATTTGTCTTTTTTTTCTTTCCTTGTTGTATATGAAGAGTCAAAAGATTTTTTTTTTTTTCCTGGAAACAAAAACAAATCTGAACAGCCAAGAGAATCATTTTAAGACCTGACTCTAAGATCTTAAAATTTTTTTTCCATTATCTTCTTTCTTTTATTTCAATTTTGGAAGAAAATGTCTACACTGTTTTATGAACAATTCCCTTTTAATGAAAATTGCTTGGCTAAATAGTTCCAAAATTAATTCTCAGGGAACAACCATAACAAAGTTTTTCTTTGTTTTGTTATTTTTTTCAAGTAAAAGATTCCATTTTCCTGTCAAGAAAAATAAAATAAAATAACTTGGCTAAATATTGGACTTCTGATGTGTCGTTAATACCTCACTAACTTACCTGCAATGAGCATCACAAAGATAGGGAAAAACAAGAAAAAAATTGAAGTTTTTTTTGTTTTAACTTCAATAAATGTGACCATGAGAAAAAAAAATCTCACAGACTAGTTACAGAATAATGAAGTGTGTGGGAGTTCTGCATAAACACTGATTCCAGGACCAGCCACTTTAAAATTAAATGAGTGGTAGAAGCAAACAAAAAAAGACATGGATATCTTCTCTGTCATAAAGACAGGAAAATCCAGCAATTTAAAAATTGTCTGATAATGGTGTGGAGTTTGTAACAAAAGATTCTTCCTGATGTACTGCACTTTGTATTATTATATACAGTAAATTTAAGATTATAAAACAGTGCAAATGCCTCACAAACCAGCATTGTGCTCAACTGCGTTTGGGATTTACATAAAATTATAACTTTTACACTTCACACCCAACTTCTCCCATCATTTATTTTAGCCTGGAATTCAACAATTCCCCCCATTCCCAAACAACCCCACATTCCAGCCCCGTTCTGTATTAATAAGGATCCTCAGACTCCATCTCCACTTCCACTGATCAGCATCAATCAATGTCAATTAGGAACAAGTGTCGGGGAGACAAAATGTGACACTTCACACTTGATCTTGTCAAAGTGTCACATAAATATGCTGCAAGGACAATATATATTTTGGCTGCATTTCAGTCCCAAACAGGATTTTATCCCAGCTCTGTGGGTCTGTAAAATTCCCCGCCCCGGCGAAACTCCGGTTTCTTTTTCACTCCCAACAGCACAAAAAGGATTTCCCTGGGATTGTGGTGGCCTGTTACCTGTCCCTCTGCCACGGTCTCGGTGTCGATGATGGTGACAATGCCAGGCACCAGGGGACTCCTGCGGAGGTTGCTGTGAGCCAGGATTTCCTCCTCGGTGGCTCCCGACGGCAGCGTCCCCGTCAGCTGGGTCACCACCTTCCCCACCATTGTCAGCCCAGTCTTTATTGTCTGCAAAAAAGGGGAAAAAACTCCTTCAAATGATGTTCAGGGTTCAGCTCAGGTTCTTTCTGGAAGTGGATTTCTTTAGGAGTGGTGTATCAGCTGCAAAAGGCTGCAACAAAACAGCTTGAAAAAATTTGGCGTCCTAGCAAACGGAAGAATTCACCTTTCTTCTGGAAGTCAATTATGACAAAGCATTATTGAAAAAAGAAGTATTTTAATGTTCAAATAATTTAATGTGTTTGTATTTTAAGTATTCCAGTGCTGGGGTTTTTTTATCTTTGATTTTAATTACTCCCATAGCATGCATGGTCAGAAGGATCAAAGACGAGGCCACGATGAGTGTGAGGAGGGTACTGCTCACACTAAACACAAAGAGTCCCTCAAGCTGACAGAGTTTTGTCTTCTGCACTGTGCAAGAGACTAAGAATTTGTCTTTTGCTACATCTGACACACTCATTTTTTTTACTCAGTAATTAAGCATTAAAACTAAATATGAGACTCAAATCCAGGAAAATTAAAAATGCCACCCTCGAGGTCCTGGAACTCTCAGGCACATCCAGCACAAGGAATGGGACTTTCCAGGCTCTGCATGTTTCCCAGACATGGGCTTGAAAACACATTCACTGCACCAGCTTTTAGCAGCTAAAGATGCTGAAGATTATTTTCATTTTGCTTTATTTTATTTGGAGAAAGAGGCAGAGTAGACACAGTAGGAGAAATGCAGGCTGAAAGAAAAACAAGCCCAACTACAACTTTAAATATTTTCTCCTTGAACCAAGGACTGTGCCTTATTTGCCTGTAAAGAACTGAGCAGATTTATTATGCAATATAAATAAGAAATAGCAAAAGAGATCAGAATGGAATGACACTGTAACAAGCCAATTTTTAACTAAAAAGACAAGCTAAGCTGCCTGCTAAATTGAAAAGGAAAAAAAATGTCCAGATCCCAAGCTGAAACCAAGAAGCAGCCACAAATCAATTGCAACTGCTTTGTTTAGTGCTAAAATCTCAAACTGCAGTGATTAGAAAACACATTAGTGTTCATCAATTAGCAGCCAAACGTTTGTTTTAATAATTCATGGGAAATGACTTACACAAAGTCTGTTAGTGTGTTGTCAGGAAAGCCTCTGAAGGGCCAACAGCAGCAGGCGCCACACGGTATCGATGGCCATGGCCAGCCAGGAAGGCTGATTAACCTCTGAGATGCCTCTGCTGATGGACTCACCCCATTAATGCTAATGGAGATACTTCCACTTAAAATCGAGCCAGGCCTTTAGCACAGCAATGGCTTTGGGGGTTTAAAGTCTTTAGTAATATCCTGCCATTTGTTTCTTGTTATTTCTTTTTATACCCGGCTACGGCAGAGGAGAATAAAACGGGTTTTAACAGTGGCGGACTCAGGAGGCTGGGAGAGGTAACATAAAGCAGATATTGACAGCTGAGGAATAAACCTAAAATAGCCCCAGTGCCATCACAGGGATGCATTCCAGCTCTCCTGGCAAAAACTGACAAGGCAGTTTTTTGGCCAATAGCTAAAATCCTAGAAAATGATTTGTTCTTAGTTTATAAGGCAGGGAGGAGAAAGCAGTAAATGCTACATGGCAAAATACCTGTGCAAGGGAAAAGGCCAAAAACTGTAACTGACCTGTTTTAGAAAATATCTTTAATATTTATAATGAGAGCAATGGGATGGCAAAGCACCAACCGTAAATTTACAGCTCTCTAGAAGAAAATGACCAGCGTGGGCCTGCAGCAGGGAGAGGTGTGCAGAGATGTGGCCAAGGCCATTAGCTCAGAAATATCAGTGCAGAACCATTACAGCACTTACTGCTGCTGTGTATATTTGCAAAAACTTCTGGGGTAATCTTTAACCTTTCCCATGCCATATCAGCTGTCCCTTCCATCCATTAGGGCTAATGACCTTGCTCTCACATAAGCTGTTAGTCCTCATTAAGAAGTTATCAGGTAACAAGAGAAAACAGATGCAGCCTTTGCTAAATCACTTTACCAGTACAGGATTAAAAGATATGGAGAAGGAATCAAGCAAGGGAGTTATGAGGTGACAAGGACTTGGTTTATAATTTGATGCAAGACATGTGACAGAGCAAATACATTTTAAATGAAATGGGTTCAAGTTTGCACTGTCCCAGTCCCTTTGTCACTGATGGGAACCCGCCAGTGAAGTCTGCTGATAAATAAAATTAAAATACTTGATCCAGTTTCTTTTGTAACCAATGATCCACAGTGTGCAGAAACACACATTATTGATATGCTCATGTGTACCCTATCTACTTCAAAATATCACTGTTCACATCTATTTGAATATAAAGAAATACATATATTTAATTAAAATCGATGTAAGCCCTCGTACCTCATTTAATTGAAAAGTAAGTACAACTTTAATTAGATGGAAAAAATTAAAATGCACAATTCAGTGCCTGTTAGGATGCTTTGTTCAACAAAGGCTTGCATCCTTTTAGTGACAACACAATATATTGTTCCTGTTTTTCATAATAAATACATTTTATTTGATCTATTTTATTGCAAATGAAAAATCTATAGCAAGCAGAAAGAGACATCAAAAAGATCTGCCTTGGGTGTCAACACAGTGAGGTTGAGCCTCATGCTCAGTTAGAACAAAGGGATAATGGGGTTTATTCTGAAAGAAATTCTGTGTCCATGCCATTGTTTGTTCAACTGAAAAGAATCTTCATCCCCTGGAAGGGACTTTCCTGTCTGCACGCACTGAGTGCATTCTTCAACACCTCTAAGGAATGTTACTTCCATTTTTCCAAACACATCCATTTTTATCTGCACTCATCATTAATCCAAATGTGAATCTTGACACATTTTCTGCTTCCTGAAATTTTCTGCTTGGTCAAATGACAGAAACTACCAGAGCTTTTGGAACATGAACACTCAGAAAGCCACCAACACGATCACGACTTTGACCTCGGTGGTTCTGGTCAACAGGGACCTTCCCAAATAACTCCCAAGTTATTTGATTAAGGAGGAAATTTATTTGCTGCACCAAGAGCAGCAGCTCCCACTGAGAACAAACCCCTGACACCACCAGGACATGGGTCAGCAAAGGGAAAACCATTACAGAAAATATTCTGTGCTGCCACCAAGACCTTCTAGAGAGGATCTGAAAGGCAATTCTCCAAAGTGACCCTGCTGAAAGCTCTCAGCTGTCCTTCTCTTTCATACGAAGGTTCTTTCACTTCAGTAGAAAATTGGAAGCCAACCAGAGAAAAGGCTGTAACCCAAGGTAACCTGGCAAATAAGAACTTTAATGGAACCACTTCTGAACCAAAAAGCAGCAGTGCAGGGAAAAGGAAAGGACAGGCACTTCCCAAAAGCTGCTCCTGCACTAATCAAAGCAAAGGAATTACAAACCCCTGCAGCTGACAGGACACAACAGCATAAATGAAGGTTCATAAATGAAGAATTAAATAAGGAAGGAGTGAAGTTGATGGTGAGACAATGAAATGGACAAAGAGCAGTGGAAATATGGAGCATCTATTTGCCAGCAAGAAAGTCAGCCCTGCAGTTATCAGAGATGAAAACCTGCTAGACAGCAAGCCAAGACTCAATGAAATCACTAATAAATTAAACATTGCAGATTTAGTGTGGCGTGCTCATGGATAACAAATTAATACACTAAGGCTGAGACACTCCTCAAGAGCCAAATCATGCAAATATTTAAAACTATATTAGTATTAATCTTGTCTATTACAGTAACATCCAACAGACAGGATCATAAGCAATGTGCTGTCCAAATACAGAGCAGCACAGAGCCCATGCCCTGGGGATTATCCCTTTTCCTAACTCTCACTGGGAGTTTATCTCTGTACAGAGGCTAACAATCTTTTCTTTCCTATGATTATAAACACATTTTATCTTCAGTATCTACTCACATGATGCAATAGCACTACTTCAGTGTGATAAATTCAGTTTAACAGCAGAATTTCTGGATTATGATCCCTGGCTAGTACTACTCAGCAGGGAAGGCCATCAGCCACAGTGATCTGTTTGCAGGATTTTGCCACATCTGATCCAAACTGTGGCTGATCACACTAAGCCCCTCAGTTTTTCAAACTTATCTGTGTTATAAAAAAGATGTTCACAATGCTGGGATTGAAGGAATTTGGGGAGATTTCCCCACACACCTCTTTTTTAACTGCGCTGATGGTGAAAGCACACAGAGATACAGCAAATCACCTCGGGAGAGGAGCAATTCCAGCTCCCCTCAACAATGTAAAAAGCTGTGATTTTTCTCCTTCTCCGGCCACACTGTGATTGTGATGGACTGTGTTTGTTTTTCTGTTTTGTTTTCACATGAGCTGGCCTGCCCTGTGTCTCTCTCTGTGGCTTCTCCTAACTGTTGTTTTCCTCGGTGCCACCGAGCCTTCTGTCCCATGCTGTCATTTCATTCCTATTATTAGGTTTGTTTTGTTGCACATATCAGAAATGAAAAGGCTGGTGGTTACAAGGGAAGCTTGTAATCAGCACCGAGCTCACCCCACGGTGCCAAAACTCACTCTGTGTGTGTGTGTGAGAAAAAGAAATTGTTGTTGCAGCAAGGAAAGGAGCTGGGAGGGAGACAGTGAAACAAAAGTTGTGCTCTGTCTTGTTTAAGATTTTTCCAAGCCATGAGCTTCTTTTGATACTACAAAACCCCAGACATTTCTCTGAAAACAGAGGGATTTTATAACATCATCTGAAGTACGAAAACGAGGCAATGGAACCTATATGTAAACAGTCATTAATAAGCTCTAACCTTCAAAGAAGGTAATTAATTAGCTCCAGTACTGTGCTGTCACCCTTCAGAGAGAGCAAATCGTATAATGGGGGTGTGATGGAGTCCAAAAAGCACCAGGCACTTGTAAAGTCACTTTTCATGATGCTAAAAGAGTAATAATTCACAATGTTGATTTCTAATCGTATAAACTTGTGCCACTATGAACAGCCATTACACAAATCCATCCCACTGTCACTTCCCTCTAATGTAAATAGCTGTTTGTAATAAATGAAATTTTTAAAAATCAGCTCAGAAACAGAAATACTTTGTGGAAAGCTACAGTCAGTCAGAGATTTGCAGGATGGGGAGGGCAGGCACGGTGCTGCTGCTGCAGGGCTCTCAGTGTGCTCTCCTCTCTAGGAAGGGAGGGGGTGATGACACACAGCCCAATTCAGCAGGGAAACCTCATAATTATGTTCCACGAGCAGCTCTCCCAGGGCAGATGATGGACTCACTTTGGCAGCACTAATGACTGTGGCAGTGTAAGACTGAATGTTGTCTCCACAGGCTCCACCACGGGACTGATGGCATCGGATCAGCTACAAGAAGAAAAGACAGCAACCAAGTCACTACTATTAAACTACACAAACCCATAACCCATTACCAGAGCTCTTATTTATCATGTACAGTGGTGTGTTTTTTCCTACAAACAGCAAAAAGCCCTGCTGAGACACTTAACCCCTTTTTATAATCTTCTGGGTGCCACCCAGACTGTCGCGTCCCCCGCTCCAGTTTTCAATTACCAGATGAGTACTCACTAAGAATTCATAAACTTTGAAATGGTGGGATTTTTGGTCTGGCAGCAATACCACAAATAAATTTAAATAAATATAATCAAAAGCTTTAGCCATGTATATGTAACATTAAATATCAGCCATTCTAAGAATCCGAGTGTGGCTTTCCCCTCCTTTTTATGACGAGCAAGCAAAGAAATGACAAAGGAAAAGAGTTGTTTGAAACTTTGCATTTAATAGATTAAAGGAATGTACATGGGGTTTGCTTTTTATTGCTTTCCTTCAAAATCAATAAATCAAAACAAGACTCTTGTACCTGCCATCACCCTACAAAAGTAGGTTTTGCCTTTGAGCCATAAGTAACAATAGAATCTGTGCTTCTATGCAAAATTAGAAAAAAAATATAAATATTTGTTGCTTGCACACAGAACATGCTGCCTGTTTAACTATTTGAGCTAAAGAAAATTAAAAATTACTGTAAAATGTATTTGTTTCTACAGACTTTTCTGTCCTGCTTATATTTAAACATCTAAATAAAAATACCTAAACTAGGGAAAGCCCACAGCGAATTTACCTGGGAACACACAAGCCATTTAAATTCCCTTTGTGATACAATTCTTTTGCTGATATTTTGGCAGCAATACTTTTTAAATCCCGTGCTGAGCAGGGTTAAGTTTTCCAGCATCAGCAAGGTGTGGCACTCAAGGAAAGGCAGGCCTGAATTTGGGAAGAAATCAGCTGTGCTGGAGGAGGTGTAACAGCAAATAGATTTCTAAAATCTGCCTCTGATAATTTCTGGCTCAGCTCTAGAAACAGCTTCTCCGGTCACAGGTGGAAGGGAGAAAAAACATCTGCTTTGAAATAAAAATAAAGCATTAGGAGCCGAATTTAGGCTTCACTTCAAGCTTTAAACACACAACCACTCCTCTGGGTAAAAGCAATGATCATTTCTTTGCTTGGGAATCTATTTTCTTTGTCTCTAGAAAGAAGGAAAAAAGTCTAAAATTTTTCCGTTTTTTCTTGGAGCTTAACTTTTTCAAAGGAGTTCAAAAGTGGCCAATTTAATGTTATTTTCTAAGCTACAGAGTGCATTGCTGTGTCAGAGAGCCAACAGGCTCTTTCCAGACTCAGTTTCCCCAAAGAGAATTTAAGAAGTGGGGTTTTTTTGCCTACCTTCAGAAGTGTCTGTAATTAAATGCTTTAAACTTTTAAAGCACAAAATGGGTTGATTATTGAGTTACCTCACTGGAAACACATGTTTCTGGCTGTCTTCTCTGCCTTCCAAGTTCCTTAAACTGAGATTAAATCAAATGTGCAGAGTAGAGATCTCGTATTTTAAAATACTTAGGACTGTCATTTTAATGCAACTCCTCTTACTTTCTTTTGCACATAGCTTTTTCCTGAGTCCTTTTCTTTTCTTTTTCCCCCTATATACACAGAATCTACAAGTATTTTTTGGTATCAAACCCCTCCTTACCTTATTTTCTGCATAAGCAAGCCAACGGCTTCCAAGAGCAATAGGATTCATGTTTGGCCCTGGACAAGGATAGCAGCCTGCAAAGTTTGAAAAGGCAACATTAAGAAATATCTTAATGACTTCTTCCAAAGAATTTTCTTTATTGCCAAGAAAACAAAAAGTCTAAACAAAAGCCTTTCAGTTGCTAATATCACTCAGTGGATTGCATTTTTGTTTCTAGAGATAAGGCTGTGGTTAGATGAGCTATTTTGAACGTTTAATTATGTGTAAATATTCATTTCTTCTTATGTTCGCATTTTTAAAGCCATTTTGATTTTAAAAAATGACATTCTGTGGTGAGGGAGTACTGATGTTTGACTCGATTGGTTTTGTATCTTCACATTTTAATTAATTTAATTTGATTGACACCTTTCTGTTGGTGAACAGTTCACTCACTTCAACCTCCTCTAGATTTTTACTGTATGAAAAGATGTTTTGTGCTCTTGGTTTCGTTTTTAATAATTCTATATACAAACCCTCAGCCTTTCAAAATGCTTTTGATTTTAACAATTCTCTATAGAAGCCCTCAGTCTCTCTATATACTTTTGCACAAACTTTACACAGTGGGAAAATTTGTAATTCCTTCAGAATTGGTGGCAATGTTTTCACTGCTCACCTGCTTTCCATTACCTTTATATTATCAGTAAAAATAGATTTATACATATGGATAAAAATGAGCACAGAAAAGAGAATTATTTCTGAGGATTAAAACATGAAAATACCTGTCAGACAAAACAGCTGTGAATGAAAATGTGGAAAGGCTTAAAATAAATAATATTAAATGGCATTTCGTAGATAAAGCTTTTTAAATACGTATTTTTATAAAATGTTATAAGTAAAATATTTTTTTCTAAATAAAACAAATAATTTGTTTTTTAAAATAAGCATTTTTACACTAAAAAATAAGGAGGAAAGAACAGGGGGAAGGAGGAGGCTATCAAGCAAATGGTTAATCTCACTTTTCATCAGTTCTTAGGCTAATACAGTCAATTTAGCAATTTAATTCCTCTCAGTGATTGGCCAAGAAACAAAATATTGAAGACCTTACAGACATGTGTGTCTGATTTAAAGGAGCCCTGGGCAGCTGCTCCTGTAACCCGGGCTGAAGGAGTGCAGGCAAACTGCATTTCAGAACACATACAACACAACTTTTATTCAGTGTATTGCTTAAAATCCTAATAAAAAAAAAAACAAACCCCAAAGCCAGGCAGTGCCAGTGAAGTTTTCTATTTTCTGAATCTCTCATATGAGACTCTGGCACTGCTCTGCAGCCTCGGCAGGGACAAGAACCCGACCTCCGCATACGTCCAGCTCTGTTCCAGCAGGCTCCAGAAGAGTCCAGAACATTTCCTGAGCACAGCAGAACTTCCAGAAGGGGAGAGGTTTTATTTCCCACACCTGCAAAGCGGTGAGGAGCAGTGTGGGAGCTGTTAGGAACCTTTCTGGAAGGTTCCATGGACATTTGACAACACTTTGGAAGCGGGTTTGGGCCTGCGTAGATAAACAAGCCTGGATTTCATTTTCCAGAGCAGAGCACTGAGGGTATTGCAAAATTCCAAAGATCACAGCGAGCTGCTTGAAAGGTCAGAAAGAAAAGGAAGGAGAGAACGAATTCACCCAGTTAAAGCCATCTCAGGCAGAACCCAAGGAGGGTTTTGTGAGGCCTTATCGCCAGCCTGATCTCAGGAAGGAAAACGAATTCTGAAGAGACGATGCCACAATTGTTATTGCATTCCAGGAGTGCATAAAATGTGGGCAGCCAGAGCCTCTTAAGGAACAAAGCAAGCAAAAAAAAGGTTGTAAATACAGCCCTGGGTTGTAAATACAAACGTGTTCTTCCGATGACATTATAGATCAGGAGCGGTGAGGTTTTAATGCCGACTTCTGCCTCGGCAGCTCTTATCTGGGTCAGGAAAGGAATTCAGGTGCCCCAAACCTTTCTTTTACCTTCCCTTTTATGTCTAAAATACAGCACTGAAAGTTGCCAGATGATAACCTTCGTCATGTAAATCTCTACAGTGACTTCAGAACCAGTGACTTCTGTTTCCCAAATTCGTAACATCCCTGCAGGAGAAAACTAAAGGAGTCTCAGCAATTCATAGCAAAAAACCAAGTCCTGCTTGGAAAAGGGAGCTGTTCTCAATTACTTCAGTGAACTGAAGCCATTGAAGAACTGCAAAAAGAATTCTTCAAATCCAAAACTGATCACTGACCAGAAGAGTTACTTAGAAAAGCTGGGGCTGCCCTCCCCAAACCCAGTGCCCGTGGTTTGTCCCATGAACTGGGCTCAGTCAATCAGACTCCATACACAAATCAACCAATTCTAAGAATAAACTCCACAAAGGTCAACGATTCAGCTCGGTCCTAAACTCTACCCTCTGCTACGAAAAACAGCGTTAAAAAAAAGGAGCTATTTCCTCCCTTTCTTTTCTTTGCAAGTCTTTGCATTTTGGAAACTTGCAGCAGCACAAGGATAAACAAAGGGTTATACTTGATGGGAAGGAAAAGCAAATTGTTTTTCTGCTTTCCAAAAAAACAGCTGGAGTCAGCAGAACATCATCTATGAGGCAAATGAAAAGACAGACACGGCGTGACCCATCGAGCTGGGCCATCCAATCCTCAGCAGCCCCACTCCCTTAAAGATTAACTTCTATTTCTACCAGACTTCAAAACAACAGAGGAAAAAGCCATTCTAAGCAATAACAGCAGCAACTTCAGCGTGTTTACAATAGGAATGAACATAATGAGAATGCAGAACTAACTGTCAAGAAGACCAAAGTTTCCAAGTTTTAATGACAGCATGGAGAGGTCATCCAAGAAAGGATCACTCAGGGAAAGTCCTTCCAAAAGTGCAGTAAACCAAGCAAGTATTAAAAAATATCTGATTTTAGAACCAGCTTAACTGGGCCTGTCACTCACAAAAATATAGGTGAAAACCTACTGGAACTGCTTCATAACTTTTGAGTACACACAGCTATCTTCTGCCTCTGTGCAGAGGAAATTAGTAACTTCAAAGCTAGAAAAAAAGGAAGAAAAATTGCGTATTGAAAATCAGAATCGAAGTCCAAGTTCTTCTGCTAATTTTATCAAGTTCCTACATCCAAAAATTCCAACTGGTGCTGCCCTAAGGAACAGTGAGGAGTAAGAAATGGGCTCCAGGATCCCTGTGAAGAGGGGCTTGGCTAAGGACACCCTGGGACTTACATCCTGTGCCTCAGTTTTCCCACATCCAAGATGTAAATGTTATCCTCAGCCCCACAGGTGAATTCTTCAGTGTTACAATTTCTCAGTTTCTTCCCTTTTTTAAAAAAATAACTGCAGTTATTTATAAAGTTATTATAAAATTATAACTGCAATAAGGATACAGCTTGTGATTATTTGCATTCAAAAGTGCTTTAAACTTACTTGTTGCTGTGCTGATTTTATATATTTCCTTTTACTGAGAATACAGGAATCCCACACTACCTGAAGTTCTCCAAAGAGCTACACAAATGTTTGCTCTGTGAGTGAGCAAAGAGAAGGTTGATTTATTTTCCACTAATTTTCTATTTATTTCCATTACTACCCTTATGGTAACGATGAAAATCTCTGCCTTTGGAGATTCAAATCCATAAGCCCATAATAAACCAAATCACCTCCTCTACACATCTTTGAAAATTCACCCAAATATCCTCTCCTCTGACTCTGGATGTTTTCATCAGTCTTGAGCTCCTCCAAGAAACCCAAGGCTCCAGTGCTTTCCTTGAATTGTTTTGCAAAAGCTCATTCTGGATCTTCAGCGATGGCAATGTGAACACAAAGAGAGCAGCCAAGAGGAGAAAAGCAACACATTCCTGTCCTCTCCCTTGTCCTTTAAACAAACAGCTCACTGGGAAAACTCTGCTCAGAGGAACAGAGTCATTACAGGCTGTGTCAGCTAGAACAGAGCTTGGGCCAATAAATCACCGAACACGCTGCTAATAAAACTTGAACCACTTCCACTGGGGCAGCTCTTCAGCATCTCCACAGCTTCTTCATAAAATAAAGATTTAAAGGAGATATAGGAATACAATATTCTCTCTAGAAGAATCTGATGTTAACAGTCAGAACTTGTCTGAGCTAAGTCAGGGCTTATTTTCAGTTTGCAGAACGACGCACTCAAACCTCCCTACTCACAGCACAGTTTTATTTCTTTCTCAAATCTCACGGAAACACACTGTAAAATGACATCTGATAAACCACTGCAAATTAATACATGAATTAATAAAGCTGAGGGAATGAAAAAGCCAAATCAGAATCACCTAACATAGCTTTCCCTCAAGCACATCCCATCATGTTCATCTTAAGACACTACTGGTTGATTTTTAATTTCACAGCACTTTATAAGAACTTTATTCCCTACAAAATTTATAGTACAGAAAAAAAAAATCTGGTTTTGGTATTTTCCAGACTTTCATCCCCTCTATCTTGACTTTGTTCTTACTTCTTAATGAAAAACATTTTAAGTTCTTTTCTGTCTTGTTTCAGTCTTTTTTCCCTATCAATTTAATAGGAAAACTTTCTTTTTCCAGCATTTTCACTGGTTTCTTTTCCCCAGTTCTCTCCAGTGTCCTTTGCAGTGGTCCATGCTCAACCTTTTTTATAACTAATTTTGATTTACTATTTCCTAGGGGGGAATTTTAATGAATATGTCACACCTTGTACCTGTGAGGAATCCATACCAGAGGTTTTATTTCAGGCTGAGGGGATGGGCAGTTATTAATAAAAAATCCTTTCAGGATTTTGTCTCTGATCCCAAAATAAGGCAGAAATGGCACATTTTGGCTCACAGGGAATGCCATGAAGGCAGAGATTCCCAGGCTCACCTCCATCCTAAGGAAACCTTCCTGATTTCTGGAGAAACAAGGATTTTTCTGTTCAGTGCCTGGCAAGGTTCATTAAAGATGACATATGTCAGCTGAAGTGTCCAGTGATTTTAAACACAGTTTTCTAAACAAATTCCAAAAGAAGTAACTCATTTCAACAGAAATTCTTTGCCTTTAATCATTCAAAGGACTTG